TTAGCTAATTTCATGTATATTTAGAACCCATAAAAAAATTGAAGTCAATCGAAAGTGTGACACCAAATTTGGTGTCTGAAATAAAAAGGAATGTCTCATATATATATTTTTTGTATGTATGTTACCGCATAACTTTGGATCACGTTAACCGATTTCTATAACAGTGGTCCCATACTAATTTGGTTTAAATCCGATCATTGGATCAAGGAGAAATTAACGATAATCATAATTTTGTATATGAATTTAAGTCGGTATTGCTTTTTGCTTAGAAATTGCTTGTTATATATTTCACATATATTTTACATATCGATGCTTATATTCAATAATACCCTCTATTTGCACACTTTTCACAAAAATCAGATTCTGATATAAAAATTCAACTAAATTTAACTGTCATCGGTGTTATTAATGCTGGCCTTATATAACGTTTGGTATTATTGAATATCGGCCCCTCGATATTTTACATTTTTGTATTTGTAACTTATTGCAAGATTTTTTTTTGTGTTTTGGCAACAATTTGTCTGCAGTAAAAAAAGCATATAATTTGTGTTTCAAAAGTGTGTGAAAACCAATCAATTAACTTATATGATCTCGGTTCCGATATTAAATAATCAATAATTGTTTATACCCGCATTTTGGCACATTGGCTCGTTGAATGTGCCATCTAATAAATAGTGTCGTCGTTCTCCTTAGCTGCTTTTAAATGATGTCACAAGTTGTTGGCGGCGACATAAATATAGTGTAAGAAAACTCCTTTTCTATAATTATTGCGCTTTAGAAAGGTTGGTTTCTTTTCCACCTTAGACATTCCGAATTCGTTCAAAATATGCTAATTTAAAAACCANCTTTTCCACCTTAGACATTCCGAATTCGTTCAAAATATGCTATTTTAAAAACACAATTCTTTCAGTGTTCCCTAGGGGTTTTTGGACATGGCGGCAATCCACTGTTTCTTCAATTTAATAGTGTTGGCTTTCTTCAAATATTTCTCGTATTTCAGCTCTTTTTGCGTTTGGATTTTCGCATCGTGTTTTTATTATATTCGTAATTTTAAATTTTTTTTATTAAAATCAATTGGTCGGGGTTCGTGATTGTGTGTTGATCAATAGCAAACTGATGATTTGGCAATAACCTCTTGAATCTTTGGAAACAAAACTTTCTGCGCAATGTTTATTGTCATTCATATCTCACATACGACACAAGAACAAAATTTATTTTTTTAATCGACATACTTTAAGCATTGTTGACACTATTTCCATTTGAATGAGGAAATAGCATCATTTCCTTTATTTCCAAGTTTTTGTTGACTTTATTTCGCTTTTGAAAAAGTAGTAATGCCAACTGACTTTATTTTGCACCAGTATGCGAAATAGTGTCAATTGACCTTATTTGCAGATTGGTGACAGGAAAAACGGAAATAAAGTCAATTGACACTATTTCGCATACTGGTGCGAAATAAAGTCAATTGACATTATTACCTTTTCAAAAGCGAAATAAAATCCATTGACATTATTGCTCTTTCAAACATTAAATTTACGCAGCTTCGAGGCGGCCGGCGTCCGCGCGCCACACCGTGTGGTGCACCGCTGTGCCTTGGTGCATATGGCTAATTTTGCAAAGGTTTTCAGATATTGGCTAAGTTAGTTGTACTTAATCTTTGTTGCTCTATTACATTAAATTAAATTCAGTTCAGTTAATATATTTCAATTCATTTAAAAACTAGACTATCACTTACAGTTCCTTAGAGTACAAATTGTGCGGAATTGACGTCTTTACTCCTGCTCCATCACCAGTATCATTATCGCATGCACATGCACCACGGTGATTCATCCGTTCAGATACAATTTGTGCATCCCTCAAAATCTATCAAAAATATTTTAAAGAAATTAGATATTGTTTAAATAAACATTGTAAATGACTATCAACTAAGTTAATATAAATCAGGGATCATTACGTTTAGAATATTTATAATAAAAACTATAATTTGCGGCTGAAATGACTTTTTAATTTCCGACCAAGTTTAAGACCCTGCAGTGACATGGAATTTTTTGATTTGCAACTGGTTTTACATAGTATTCAAATCAATATTTAGTTCTGCTAACACCCTAAACAGGCTTCGTTTGTACACCAACGATAAACGCGAAGCAATTGTAAATCCGAAAATTTGCATGCCAGCACAGGGCCTAATCGTAATCTTATGATTTTTATTTTATTTCTCAATTTTACTATCATACATACATACGTATAAGATCATGGTTTCAAATTGCTTGCCGATTTTCAATGCTTTTGTTGCTTATCTGCCACTATTAAGAATTAATTAGTGAAAGCAGACAGCTGAATCGAAAAAAGTGTAGAAAAATCATTCGCCTTCACATACTTGCAGATGTTATTTGCTTGCGCAGTCGGTTGAACCGAACGGCTTTGAAAGTTTTGGTGATGCAGGAAGCGATAACAGTGCAAACCATTTTTTCAGATATTCTCAATTGTAGAGAAATTTAAAAGAATTCGTTAAGATCTCATCCGAACTTTGCCGAACTTTCTAAAATGATATAAACTTGCACACTTCAATTCTTTTACGAAATTTCGGAAGAAAATCGGTAAAGCATTGAAAATAATACCCCTATGAGAAGAATTTCTCGCAGAATATTTTCATAATTTTCTTTATTTTTCGTACAGAGATTTCTTTAGGAGTTCGTGTCAAGCACTTCATATAATTTTCTTTGAAGATTCGTAAAAAAATCGTTATAGAAACGAGATACTCCTAAAGATTTTGTTAAGATTTCGGGAACTTTGGTTTGCAGGGAAGTTACGAGTAATTTTTTCAGCTTATAAAATTTTACCGAAACCCCCTAGAAAACTACTTCGTTTTTGATAATGATAACGCGACTGCTAGAATAACGCAGCGACAAGAAAAAGGGGAACCAAAAATAACGATACATAAAACTTAACATTTGCTGAATCACTGTAACTGAAAGCGAATAATTTTCTCTACCCTTTTTGGCTTCAGCTGTTTGCTTTTGCTGATTTATTTTTCATAGTCGCTGTTAAGGAATTACTAATGCTTTGAAAATGGTAAAGAACAGCTTGCTTAGAAAAAAAGGTTTTGCGTTCTTACTTTTCAGTCAGCAATACAAACCCTGTATAAGACGTACAGCCGGTCTCACCAGAAATTTAAATGGAAAATGATTTTTGTTCTGTCACTTTCCATATATGATTTAAAAAATTAAAATCATTTTTCCTTAAATTGCTTTCGTGAAACTGGCTGTTATTTTGTGATTTTACTTTTTAGATGACAACTAATCGTTTTTTTTATTGGTTCGATCATATCGACGCCCACAATAGGGTTCCNAAATTAAAATCATTTTTCACTTAAATTGCTTTCGTGAAACTGGCTGTTATTTTGTGATTTTACTTTTTAGATGACAACTAATCGTTTTTTTTATTGGTTCGATCATATCGACCACCACAATAGGGTTCGGAAATATTCATACAATGAACGTTCGCGTACATACATTTATGATTTATACACGAACGTGAACGTATCAAATATTCTCTATTGATTCTCCTTCGTGAACGGGAAGCACAAATAGTCAAAATTCCTGAAGTGGGCCACTTAATTATCACTGGTGGAGATATTTATGATTTTTTTATCTTTTTGTAGAATTTATGATGTATATGAAGATCCTAAATTTTTTTGGAAAATTTTAATTTTTGTATGAGATTGTTTAAACAATTTTCAGAAAAAGATTGTTTTCTAGCGATCTACATGATGAATCCGGCTGAAATTTGGTATGAGAAATAAATAATAATCAAGCTTTCGAACCAAAAAATCGACCACTATTTTTTTTAAATAGCAAAAATTTATTCAAAAAAAATTAAAATAAAAAAGTGTTCCCAATGTATTCCAGAAATTTTGTACCAAAATTCAGATTCTTTGTTTTCTGATGAGTAATTTAAAAAAATAAATAAATTGGAAACTTTCATACACTCAGAGGTTATGCTACTTTTTCTCCTGATGTTTCGCATACACGCCACGTGGCAGCGCCTAATTGCGGGCTTCTTAAAAAGTATATTTAAAGTAACAAAAAATTGGAAATGGGATATTTGCAAATCATGCCAAACACAAGTCAATCGCAAGCATGAAAACAATTTAAGAAGTGAAAGAAGTTTGGAAGCTACTTTTAGAAGCTGTGTTGAAGCTACTTGAGAAAAAATGTGTTTAGATAAATAAGTTACTTCAATCTTCAGAAAAGCCGATGAAGTGTATAAAAACAATACTGCCATTCTAACCCCTAACTACATATAACGGGTAGTGGTGGACTTCTTTGACCGGAAAAAGCTTTGGTAAGAGTAACTTACAAAAACAAATACTTATGGGTTATTAAATAATTTAAAACTTTCTTAATTTAAATTACAGGATTTGACCAGCGTGAATCAAAATTAGAAGACCCAGCTTGGAAGTTAGGCAGGAACATCTGTATGTATGTATTTATGTATGTATATAGTAATATGTAAAACATCTGTATTTCATTTATTAAATGTTGTAACTTATTTATAAGTATATGTATATCAATATATTTTTGACAATGTGTGTACCAAACGACTTTTTGCGATTTAATAAAAATAAAATTTGAATATCATATTTGAAAACGCATATTTTTAAAATGAAGAAAAAACACTTTTGGATTTAATTTCACATGCGCATATTCAATTATCAAACAATCGTTTTTAAAAGCGATTTGAAAATGTTCGTATCAAAACCAAAAACATGGATTTTGGAAATTGAATTGAAAACTTTCGTTCTCAAAGTTTAAATAAATATTGTAAACCTGGGTCAAAACGTTTTTAAAAGTAAAACGTTCCATACAAATTTGAAAACGAAAATTTCTCCGTGTGTAGTAAAAAAATGGATTCATGGTCTTAAAGTGTCAATTTCTAATGAACCTTCTCAAAGCCGCAAAATTTCACTTTTAACTACAGTCCCGATGGAATGGAGCATTCGTCAAATGAAAGAAAATTTCAATGTATCGCGAGAAGAATGGCGTCAAGGGCCGAAAAATTACATTTAAAGAATGGATACGGATCTAATCCTCCAACGAAAATTGGAAGCTGCAACTTTGGAAAAATCTGAACCATTTTACCTTTCTGATGAAAATAGTCGAAATGCTATGCTACAATCCAAATGAAGATTGTTATTTGTCTGCTTGCAAGAACTGCCCAGGGCCTTCAATAATTTCAGAAAAGCTAAAACTTTAGCTTGAAAGCAATGATGTCTTAGAAATGGAATTTCAACAGTGGTCAAGTACTGATAGGTAAATATTTATTAAACAATAAACAAAAAGTTTTTACATAACACAATTCATAATATTAAATATCTTATGACTTTAATTCATTTCATAGTTATCATATAATGTATTATTATTATAAAATGTATTTAATAAAAACGTTTGCTAGTATTAATAAGTAATTCGTTTATTATTTATTAATGTGTATTTTTTCTAAATCAGGTGTGAACTGTTGCTACGTTTTGTTGGAAGAGAAGAGTTTTTGGAAGAATTGACCAGAGATTTACCACATGTAGTAAAGCACGATTTTCTAGCTAGCAGCCAATCTAACTATTTTACAAAAGCAAAAAACATCGTAAGGGAAGGTGAATGTATTATCGCACTTGATTTTGCTGAAAATTATACTTGCCAAGTTCAAGATGCCTTCCAATCTCAACACTGGGCTAACGCTCAGCCAACACTTCCACCCTTACGTAATTTATTACAAAAAAGAAGGCGCTATAAAACATTCAAATTATGTTGTAATATCAGAATATTTACATCATAATGCGAACGCGGTACACTTATTTAACTTAAAATTATTAACTTTTTGAAAGCGAAATTAGGTTCTTTTGAAATGAAAAAAATTATGTATTCTTCCGACGGTGCTGGATCACAGTACAAAACAAATTTAATTTAATTAACTTCATTAACCATAAACTAGATTTTGGAATGAAGCTATTCCATTCAGCTTCTCTACATCTCATGGAAAGGGTGCTTGTGAAGGGATTGTAAAAAGACATGCCTATCGGTCTAGTTTAAAAAAATTATGATTACAACACCGAAAAGTTTTTTAAATGGGCAAAAATTTTTTTAAAATTTTTTTAAATTTTAGAGCCTCGATATAAAATGCCGAAAAGGTTAACTCTACTCGCCAGTATCATTGTTTTATACCAATTAATGATAATAAACTTGTATGTAGAATATTTTCTGAATTAAAAAAAAACTAGTTACAAAGACTGTTATGAAAACCGAAGCCAATAAAAAATTTAAATTTGTTTTTAACATGCACTATGTATGTATGTATGTATATATTTATTTATATAACGTAACTCACTTATTTGCATATCGCACACGATCTTCAAAGGTGACATAACTCAAAATTACACGTTTGTCAGAAAATGCGAAAAACTACTGCTTAGCCCTTGTTAATCATTTGGGCTAGGGATACTTTACCTAAGGTTTTTTCAAAAAATTTTAACAAAAACTTGCTCCAGCTTGTGTTGAAAGATAAATAAAAGTTATGTGTACATTTTTGGCGCATAATTTCAAAATCGATAAAGTTTAAATTGCCAAATTTTGAATTGTGTTACTTTTAAAGATCATTTGCGATATGTACTATTCACGAATTCACATGCCACACTCGCATATAACGGTTTTATGCTGTAAGAAGTGCGCAATTAGGCGCTGCCGCGTGGTCGTGTATGAGGAACATCAGGAGAAAAAGTAGCATAACTTCTGACTGTATGAAAGTTTCCAATTTTTTTTTAATTACTCATCAGAAAACAAGGAATCTTAATTTTGGTACAAAAGTTCTGGAAT